GTCAACTAACTATGAGCACAGCGTTTGCCTGACCTTCATACTTAATAATCACAATAAGTGAGTGGACGACATAATCAAACTGATAAAAACGTATACGATAAATTCAGTTCACAGTTAACATATATGTAAGTTCATTACAATAAATACTAATGACTTACGACAGTCAAAATAAAAAGTTTAAACGAAATAACGACAGCAATAATAACAAATGATGTAAGACAAGAGAACAGTAACAATTATAATAATTTCACAGTGTACGCATTGAAACAATAATAATTTCAGTGTACTTACCAAAACAACAGCATAATAAATCAGACAAACAATGATGATAACGATCACTGTAAGAACACAGTGAAACATTATTCCCATGACAAATCAAAACACGCTGATTGATCAAATCAACTGAGAAATGCATTCACTCAACAATACATAACCAACTGAAAAAAAGCAAATATGGCCGATTAATTATTATTATTACTGTTATATTATGAATAAATCGCGTTCGATCATATTATGATGTATGATGATATCTGTGTGGAAATATTGCATATTTAATCGCTCAGAACGGCCGATATTGTGAGCGATATTTCAGGATGAATGTATTACGAAGGATTGCCGACAGATGAACCCAGCCCAACTGCTCAACTAACTGAAAAAACAGAAGTTCGACTTGAAGAAACATTTTGATGCTTGAATTAAAATAACTTTAAGTGCAGACATTATCATAACAGATGCTGTTATATCCCTATCAATGTTACTATCAACCATTCCATTAAAAATACTCTCACTGACAAGGCCAGCTCGCAGCTGGATGTTTCATTCGCTCAATCGATCCTAACAAACAACAACAAAGCGATGAATACATTCAGCTCGAAACAAAAACAACCACTTTCACAAACACTTGATACTGATTAAACGATGCCCGATCAAGGGCAACAAACGGAAAAAAACAGTAGCAAAATGAGAAAACCAACCTCAATGATAGCCATATCCAGTGCTGAACAATTAATGTACGGTTTCTCTTCGGATGCTTTCCTGAGAAATTTCAACGCACGTCCATAGTGAGTATGTGCTACAGCTTGTTTAGCACCCAATATCAACGCCTGAACAAAACACAAAAATTTCAAGTACACGAATGAACTGATTGGCTGCTATTACGACATGAAGCTGTAAATGAATCTATTCGCTCTTAATCGTTATCTTTTCAATTTCTTCAAAAGAACGGGCCATTTGACACTCCTCTTACAATCCTCCCTGAAGCTGAGAGGTACTACGGATTTAACATTTCAAAAGGGTAACATTTCGATTTCATGAATGACGAAACGTTTGTTTCCAACACTAGTCTGCGCATCCTAATGAATACTTCAACAATTCTAACGACGGAAGATACTTTGAACAACCATAAATCAAATGAACCTTTGTATCGCTTGGTTCCAGCCATTTCATCACATCATAATAAGCGATATCCAAATCTTTCAGCGTTATCTTCGGCTAAAATTCATGCACGATATCATCGCATAAATTCAACAAACTGCTAACAGTGATCAGTTTTGTACCAATCAATCTTAGCAAACATAGATTGAAGAAGACATTCTGTAGCCAAAACGAACCAAATTTTGTGAAACTACTTGTTTGTCTGCATTATCGTCAACAGATGTTTCGTGTGCTGCCGCATTTACCATCGGTGCAACCGATTTCTCTAGTGGCTCCGATTCTGTCAGACTCACCAATTCACCCACAACTGGTTCATCCTTCTCCTTCGCTTTCATCTCGTCAACAATCTCAAACAACCATAACTAGTAATCAAATGTGAAAATGCGCTCACAATCAGTATTCACCTTCATCAAAAGCGCTTCAATTAATCAGCTATAGATTCAAAAAATTTGCGGCAAAATGAGCTATCGACCAGATTTGCAAATGCGATCAAAATTCTAAGAGCATCACACCGACAAACATAAGTATATATAAGCCATAACTTATATGTAATATTATCTTCGTGTGACTTAATTTCTAGCTATGGTCGATCTCACTAAACAAATCAGTCAATGAAATTTTCTTGTTTCCATTCGCCTAGTACAAAGTCTATTCCAGTTCAAATACTATCAGTCAGTTACAGTTTCACCTTCTATGATTCAACAACTCAAACTTGCCTTGTAGATGAAAACAACAGACTCACAACGAAACAAACTGAACAAAACGAATAAAACAACGAACCGAAACAATTCAACAGAAAAAAACCAACTTGAAAGTCACTGACGGATGATTTCTTGGACATATCCGATGGCTGTTTTGTATCCTCTTTATTATTAGTATTATTAGTGTCCTTCGTATGATTAGCGCTATTGTTACCGCTCGCTATGGGCAATATTAAGCCGCTACGAAATGATTTCGGGATTTCCTCGGTACTTATTGCCAGATGAGCGTCTGCTAAGCAATTCGCCTTGGCCAACAATGCATCGACAATGGCTGCGCGACGACCGTCCATCTCACTGTAACAATTATATATTCACATATCCCTTGACTTCAGAGGTTCTCTAATAGCATCTATTAAATGACTGACACAAAGAGAATGATGTGGAAAACGACTCGAAATGATGGATTTCAAAGAGATATACATTCTCTGATTAAATGGTTTTTGCTTGATATCCTAGCATACCAGCAAAAGAATCAACAAAAAGAATAACAGCGATCATCACATTCCATCGCTCATTACCAAAAATTTAAACCACCAAAGAATCTCATTGGATGTGCGATGATTTCCATGGTAACAAGAACGAGGAATGATAATTTAAACGTACGCTTTAATGGCTATATCCGTCTCGTTGCATTCCTGTTTAGTGCCCAAATATTTGAGCACTTCATCCGGTTTTGTAACACTCAACACTGCATCCACCAAACTCATCAGCTGTTCACGTTTAGGGCCAGCATCCTCATTGCTATCGTTCTAAAATAAAAGCTACTGAACTACATACGATTATAACTATGCCTGCTTCAAGTTTCACATCGCTCATTCCGATATTTCCGCTAATAACACAAAAATCCTTTATCGTCATATGGTGGCGATTATGATAAGATCGCAATAAATAACGCCTATATACATACAAACACCGTTCGAGAATAATTATACATAAGCTGTTGCTAACATTCAAACGAATTATACAGAAAAATGCAAAGAAGGATTCTCCTGAAACTATTGATAGAATTAATTTACGCAGATTTACCCTCTCTAATCTTATCACTATAGCAGCAACTCTCAAGAAGTCAAAAGACCCCAGAAAAGCCATTAAAAAACCATAATACAAGAAACTAGAAAATGAGAATGTTTCAAGACGAAACAGAAAACGAACCTTCTTGTCGCCAAGCCGTTTCAACTGCGCTTGCATCAGCGGCAAATGATTCGGATACTGCGCTATCAATTTCTCGAACAGTTCATCTGCTTCGGACGGATTCTTCAGCTTTGACAACCACGCAATTTGTGCGTCTCTCAATGAATCTATAAATACACATATGCATCAATAGCGATTGATTTGCACACATATAATCATTATTTTGGAACAAATTTTCTTTTCATTACATTAAGCAATCCTCGCATGATGTAGTAGAATCCATATATAGATTCTCGAATAACTTGAACCACTTAATTTGGCGATACTGACCAAACCAACTAACCGTTCATTTCTTGTAGCGTATTCGCCGATGTTTCGTCTTTCTTTTTCGTTAGCGTAACACACGATAACGCTTTTGGCTGTCGTCGACCCCATTCATTGAATGTATATACCACTCGATATTGCACCACACTACGAGCTAACTCCAATTTGGGTATTGTCAACATACCTTGCAGATAACAGCCAGCAGTCACGTTCTTCGGAACCCTGAAATTTTCGTCAATTTATTAAGGTTTAACGTCCAATTCGATGGCTTCCCACAACTGCTACAGAGCTTTTTTTCATTTGCTCACCTACATAATTGTCCATTAAACATTTTCAAAATCTTGCGCCGAAACACCTATCGCCACTGCCAAAATGGAACAAAATAACCATATAAACCATTGATCAAGATTGTAAGAGCAACAAGTATTAAAAGGCTGCAAAAAATTTTATCAACAGTCACTATATGCAATCAATCAACAAATCAATCGCTTACTTGTCATCGGGAAGTTGTCCCAGGAATACGGTTAAAACTTCACCCGGCTTCATGATACGTCCATTCAATTTCTTTCCATCACCCGTTACGGCACCTAAGGATATGATGAAATCTGAGGATTTCGTTTCGTTGACCGAATGGATGTCAAAAAAGAACTCCAAACAGAATAAAGTTAGTTGACAAATAAAAAATATTTTCAGTAAGAACCAATTCAGCATCGATTCCCTTCTCAACAATAGTGAAGATCTTCCACTGAAGAAGACAGGAACAACGCAGAGACAAAATAACGAACGATAAATGACTGCGATAACAAACTTTCAAGATTTGCGTAACATTCCAGATTGATTGGCGTTATCAATTTACTCTTAACGATCATTGTCAAATCACGATATTTGTCCAATAAAGACTCGTCTTCGTGTCGGATTTGCACTCGAGCACGATATTCACCTTTCTCCAGTTTGAATGGATACTGCAACAGAATAAGATAGAACAGGAACAAAACACAACTATGAAGCTTGGCTGTAAGATCGCGTGTAAAAATTGCTGAACTGCTCATGGTTTAATTACATTCCTTAGATCACTACCGATAAAGTTTTTTCACATTTCCGTCATATCGCAAAATAATAATATAGAGAAGAGCATTCACCAAACAGTATGGAGGCGAACAATATGAAATAATTAGAATGTTGCACACAAATTTAGATTTTGAATAAATGTTTATAAAATCCATTATTAATTGTGAACTTGCTTGTCTTTAACACTTCCTCAGTATTCAGCTGAAACAAAATTGACATCAAACTACAACTCAGCAAAAGTAACGTTGTAAACGAACCCTTTTCGGATACGATGAACTGCTACCAACGAATTGTTTCGTTGAAGTGAACAACATAACATGAACATCATCAAATGAATTCTCATAGAGGTAGTTGGTTAGGCCAGGCAATTCCAAAAATACTTCGGTTGCTTTCGCTACTGAAATTAAACTCATTCATCACTCACTTACAGCTACACCATCAACAAAACCATCGCTATTAAACGATATCCCTATTATTCTCTATTCTTCTAACAAACACACAACGACAATTTAATCAAATGAAAACCCTAGACATGAAATTCTCATTCATAAACACCAAAGTAATGCATCAAAATCCCAATAAAACAAACGAATTGAACGATAAATAACAAAACAAACTTGAAAACGAATAAGAGAGCAGCAATCTGAACGTCTGAGAGCCGTTATCGAACAAGTCGCGTGGTCCTAACGGCTGCAACTTAACTTCAGAAACGCGAACGGGTTGCGAGAGATGTCGGAAAGTGATACCCGGTTGAATGTCCTCATAACGAATACGGCCATTTCGGATATCAAAACGATGCGCCATTTCAGAGGACATCTGAAACGAACTCACCAATGAAACCAAATCGTTATCTCTTGTAATCCTTTAAAAAAATCGAAAGTTCACAGGATCGACAAATTCTCTAAAAACAACTGAACTGTAATCGCTTTCCAAAAACAATAAGCAAGCCAATGAAACGTTCCTCAGCTATATTACGCAAAAACTTCATCAAAATGAAGCAATATCAACTGGTCTGCTTAATCGAACTACACAATACATATATTGCAAAATGAGCGAACAATCAACCGAACGATGCACTAACCACATTAATTGTCCTCGGTATCGGAACTATACCATGAAATGCCAACTCGACATTAATCAACGCTTCACCCAGATTTGCCCACCATTTGGTGACACACAATTCAAGAGTTCGTCCGCCTCGTAGTTTAATCGCATGCTGCAGTTCGCTGTTCGGTTCCAGTGTTATTGTCTGAAATTATAAAAGTTTTTTAATAATACATGTTGACCTTACATCAGACAATTTCGTGTCATATTCAATCCAGTTCTCTCATTCGATTAATGATTCCATTATACCAGTTATCTTCTAGCGAAGTACCACGGCCGCCTCATTTAAATGCTAATCAAATTTTGGATTCAAAGATAAAAGACCTCGATAGATAACCTTATAGTATTCAGTCGATCGATATGCCAAATTTGGTAGCAGCTGAACGCAGTGAACCACATACTTCGTTTGATGCTTATCGTCTAACGACAGAACTTTTAAAGCTGAAAAAGAAAATGTAACAGGAGAAAGCTTTTTAATCTTATTCGCATACTCAAAAAGATGCTCTTTTCTCATTGCTCAAAATCATCAATACTACTGACTTGCCCAATCGGCATCATCCGGTACATGTATGAACAATCGCTCAGGCACTGCTGGTTTACACCGCAATTTTCGAGATATCGTGAACTGATTACTGCTATCAACTGTCAACGGAACTATAGTTGTTATTGGAACGCGAAACAACGGTCCAAGAGACGGGTTTCGAGAGTCGAATGCCTTTATCTGCAAAAGAAACGATAATAATCAGATAACTGCAATGATAAAAATAATAACAAATCTAATATTCATCGACATCTATAGAACAATATGGATTATAACCAGAGTACCACTTCACACAAAGATAAAGAAATTCTACCAAAATACTTCAAAAACCTACGAATACACTTAGAGTTCAACGTAACACGATTAGTGTGACATGAGTTCACTAACATTCTAAACTTCACCTAACCTTGCTGTAAAAAATTTCACCGCAGACTCATCTTCAACCTCACACTAAAACAACAACATGCGTTCTCTATTTCATCGCCCACTTCATCGGAATTTCTGTCGTTTAGCTCAGTAAAATTTGGACAACATCATTAACATCGTATTCATTGAGTGCGATTCCAAATGAATATTACTTCAGTGCCGATTATATATACCTCAGTAAAATGCGCCACAGAAGTCTCTAATCCAGTCGGATCGATTCGTATGGCGAACTGTCGTTGCTGATGCATCAGCTCCATTTGCTTTGGACAACTCACATACGCGGCATCGCACGTCAACAGCAAATGCCTCTCAAACGCTATCTTATCATCGTTGTCTGAAATTGTCATAAGAATATTAAATTGAGATCACACCTCAGCTCCAATAATAATCACTCAAAAATATTACCATCCAACGAAGATTAACGCTCCATCAAACAAATTTATCGAATACTAACCGGATTCTTTNTTGAACATTGGCTCAACAGAAATCGAGAAGTTGTTTGCCGATCGTGTTTGGTGTAACTCGCGCAAATAGATGCCACGATCTTTGCACTCATTCACACCTATTTCGAAATGCGTCAACATAAGGCTGAGTTGTTCGGAATGTTTTTGCAGATACTCGAACGCTGATTCGACCTTCAATTATCGTATGCATAAAGGTACCACTTCAGATAAAGATTGCGAAAAATTATTCACTACACTTCCCTCAGAAAAAATCAAAACTGAAAACAGAAACCAAAGAAAAACGTCGAAACAAACCTGCAACAGTCCATGACCTAAAGCAAAATGTGACTGCTCGGGTGGGAACCTTGCAGTATTTTCCAGCGCCAATCTGATAAGAAATGGACTCCATGCTACATTTGTTGCTCGGAGGGCACTCAGCAGACATGCTCAAAATAATAATATCTCTTAGTAAAGTCAATAACACAAGCGGAACATTTATAAATGTTTGCAATGAGACTCTCATAAATAAATACGAATGCTTGCCGCAAATGCAAATGACCATTCAAAATTTCTTTCTAAATCTGAGACCAATGGAATTGTAATCATAATAAACCAAAACAACACCAACCCACAGTCCCTGTAGCATTCGGTGCACTCATTGAAGTTCCATTCATTAGCTGACTTCCCTTCAAAGTGAATTTCGGAACTCCAGTTATTGCGGCCCCTGGAGCACATATAGATACACCTAACGCACCATCTACACTGAAAATGAAATCAACGTGTTGCATTTGCCAGAGACAACTCGTAACTTCAGAACTTCAACTTCAACATAAACCACAGATTCACACAACTCAATTCTATGTTGCCAAAAGGAGAAGGCAAAAAAACTGCTTCAATTCGAGGAACGCCGATAGCTGTACGACTTTTTCAATTGTCAAGCGTATGTCCACTTCTTGCACCACGACAAAAATTTTTTGACAAATGCAATTCATAGCTTATGATTTGAGCTTATCGTGAAGAGCTACAAATATAACTGAGTAGGCTTTACATCATTTAATCAATGTACGTGACTAGAAGAAAAGCACTTACGTTGGTCCTCGAGATGACCACGGATACAATGTGGCTGGTATTTTTTCCCGCATACTATACATGGTCTCCATCATCTCTGAGGAAAGATACGCACCAACACCTGTAAATTTATCGTATTGCAATGATTACTATATCAGAACAATTAATTACTCTAATGAATATCCCAGAAAGCATTTCAATCCAATCATTTATTAAATTGTCTCTAGTGGATACCCCTTCAAAAAATTTGAAGAATACAGATCAAAACAACTCAAAACCAAGAGTAAAAGTAACAAGACAGCGCGGCCTCACCTATGGCGGACGAGGACGTTGAGCCCGGTGATCCACCCGTCGACAGCGCTGGTCCATTATTGCCAGCGGATGAGATGAAAATAATATCATGCTTTCTGACCATTCGATCCAACGCTGAGATTATACGACTGAAAATTGAAACTATTTTGCCCACATCCTTAAACAGTTCAAATCGTCTGAGGTTAAAGTGGGAAAATCAATTGATCGAATAAATTTAAAAAATAGTGGTCAATAGCATAGATATTCAGAACGAAGGAAATACCAATATGGATCATTAAGTATAAAACATCCAAAAACAAATACCCTGTATTGGGGAAATCCGTAGCTTCGCCATACGAATAATTAACAATATCAACTGATAATTCAGTACATCGTTGGATCTGAAATGAACTATGTCAAAAATTTTTCTTTCCCTTCTATTCACTAATATCATCGAATGTACTTCTTACGAAAGCTTCTCAAAAGATCAACTCCATTGCTGTGATGTAACTTAATGAACCCATTGCTCTTATTACTGCTACCGTTATTGATATGATTGATATTATTAATGATAACCATGAAGGACAGTCAAAAAATTCGGACTAACCGCTCGTGTCAGAGCCGTCCCGGTCTCCATACTTGCTAATCGACTGTCGCCAATACACAGCGAAACCAACTGCGCTCCAGGCGCTAATCCACATTTTTCAGGCTCCTAAAACATTCATTCATCTATAACATTCAGAGATCCCACCACGCTGGCATGCAATCCGAATTTCTTTCTGACCAATTCATTTCGATGAAAATTTATGCAATCAATTCCCCAAAAATTACAACACGTCTTTAAATTCAACAGAAGATGGAAAATGCTAGATAACACTACGCTACTAAACATTAGACATGATCTTATAGAAATCATTTTTCTCGAGTTCAGTTTATAAACTAAGACAAAACATTCATATTTGCTAGAAAAGCACTAACATCTGCGAAATATGCAGCCGCAATATTAGCAACATGTGAACCGTGACTTCCAGACGGTACACATATCTCCAACAAATTACCATTATCATGAACTGTTACACAAAACGTCAGTTTATCTGCAAGTTATGAATCATCACGAATTCGGCAAACAACTACTACACCGAGCCAATACACTCACTATCGAAATTTTACAATTTCACATCAATCACATGAAATAAGCACTGAGAAGAAATACAGATACTCTAAACAAAACAACAAAAAACAGTGACTACATACCATTATCAGAAAGGCTCGCACAGTCACCATTTTCTCGGAAACTACTCAACACAGGCGCTAAATTAAGTCGACCACGATATGAGGTATCTATACAAGCTCTAAAATAGAGATGCTTTATTGCTGATTTGAATTCAATTCAAATCATCAGAAGTGGCGATTTTTCTTCAACTAAAATTCTGAACGCTGTATGCTGCTGCCATACTTTGATTGAAAAGATCGCTCTCGCTACCATATTAGCAACTAAAAACTACTAACTTGAATCCATGGCCATCGTTAAAAACAATACAGTCGGCTATCGGCCCGTGATCAACTGTCTTCTCGGTTTGTTTCAGTATTTCAACTTGACATGCCAAATTCTCACGTTCTTCCTTGTCTGCCTACAACATCCACTATAGCATCAATCAATGAAAAATTTCTGTCATGGAACTTATTTAGGCATTCTCGATCTGAATAATTCCTGGCAAAGAGTTGAAACGTAGCATGATACTTGACTTATTTGCTGCAGACGTATATGGCAATGTATTTGGACAGAACATGTCAACGCAATCTAAAACCTAACCAATTTCTCGGAAGTTCCACCAATGGCGTCCTCGTGAGCATCAAGCTGACGATGTGCATCTGCAGTTGCTAATTTATGACCACAGTCGAATAGATGCTCTTTCTTTTCGCTCTAAATTTATGTTTAGGATTAAGAACAATAAAGAAAACAGCTCCTGATGTATTACGACGTATCATTTGTGCAATTTGTTTTGTTTGACAAGCTCTTTAGACGGTCGTTTAAATTTGCCCATTGAAATTTCGTTGATGAGTTGGTGAGTGGGAAAGA